CCCATAATAATGTATTGTCATTAAAACTTTTATCAATTTTGTGAACATTTTACAGGAAAAAGATGTGAGAAGTTGCAGACCTATAGACCTGTCTCTGTGTGAGTTGGTAGAAGTGGCTAAGACCTGTGCTACAATATATTGCATGTTGCTGTCGGATGTCGGAATGAAAGAATTTCTTTTTTGAAAAAGAGTTTTTCTCATATATATATATATAATAAATAAATATGAAGCCATTTTGAAGCTGTAAGTTTTTGAGTCAATCTCTTTTAATGTATGTGTGTATGTGTGTTTATACATATCAGTATATATATCTGTACTACAGGAGTAAAGGATCATATGTCCACTTTGTCAAAATTGAGTTAATACTTTTTCCAATATGCCATGAGCTTAAATTGTGATGTACTAAAAGGTTTTATGTCTATCACAACTAGTTTCTAAAATACAACGCCTAGAAGAAGTTATATTGAACATTTTTATAGTGCCTAATTTTTGAACCAAGAAAGCGTGTTATTGGCAGTTGTACTATTAAACATGTCAATTAAATTACTACTTAAAAAAAACTTAATAAATTAACCTGCTACTTTTATTTTATATCTAAAAAACATATATATTATTTCTCTATTTAAAACTTTAAATCTTGTTTTCTCAGAATCTATAATAATGAGGATACGATTCTTTACCTCTAAGATACAGGTATATATATATATATATATATATATATATATATATATATATATAAAACCTCTTATTTCTTACAAATATACATATATGTGTATTTATATTCGTATTATATAGAGAATCGCTATAACATTAAATGTAATAATAGTTATAATATAGAACTATTGTCTCCTATTTTTGAAATTTATTAAATATGTATTGATTAAATACGTATTTATTATATTTAATGTTATTCTTGCAATTCTCTATGTTAAGTGGATATAAATACACATATATATCGGATATATAACATTATATATATAACATTAACATGTTTTTTAAATCATGTTTATCTGCAATAATTAAATTATTTATATTAAACCAATTATTATTTTTAAAATAAAAAATTTACCTGACAATGTGATTATTCCTTATTCACTAATTATTAAATTTTCAAATAAGTAATTATTTATGTATTGTCACGACTTTTTACACTCCCGGACCGCTCCGGGACGTGTGCCGGATCAAAAGGACTTAGGAGAGCGGGATGGTTGGCCTCTCCAGTGATTTCCTCGCACCTCCGATACTCCACGAAATGTTCCAAATGTTGGGCGCCAGACGCGTACATCCGCGTCCACGAAATCGCGAAAACCTAAACGAGACGCAAAACGAAGTGTGGAGGTGCGTGGAATCGGCTAGCTTGACCTAATCACGGGCGGGGTTAATGAAGGGCAGCGCGATTTTCGGCGGGGTGACACGGTAATTTCATACTCAGTCAGATAACAAAGAAAATAACATTTATTGAGTACTGGTTGTCGAGAAAATAAATTCAATAAACAAATCAAGAAATTGAGTCTCTAATAAACACGCTGAAGGCTCTATTCTCACACAATGAATAATTCGAGTCGAAAACCGTACGAAAACTCTGTCGCAATATCTTAACTTAACGCGAGATATTTGGCTTGGCTCGGGCGCAACGGGGAGGCGCCGAGTCATTTAACCAAGCAAGTCGCGATATCGCTAATAATGTTGGGCGCCAGGTGTGGAGAAGGCCACACCACCTTTGACTCAAAGTACGCGTCTGATAACCACGGAACGCCAGGACGAACTACGCGAGTAACATCTAAACGCACGAAACGTGTGAACGCCGGTAATTTCTTAACGCGAATACAAGTCCAACATAATTAATCAATCGGCGGGAACGACCTTCGACCGCGATTAACAATGTCATCGACATTCCAACGCAAAACTCGAGATTATCACGAGCAGGGACGCCATAGGACGTAACGCAATTAATACCGGACACAAGTTTCTCAACGCGAGAGCACAATTATCACCCGTCATAACGAGATCCGAACACAAATCGATACGCTAACACCGACGCTCAAACAAAAGAATTTCCCGACGCGAAGAAACGGTAACGCAATTGACGAAATACCGGCCCGTATGCGGCCGTACACCAAGGTTGCGAGGACAACGCAATATACTCGCGATATCGAACTCATTAACGCCTATCGCGATCTCCAGGGATTCGCCATAACGCTTGTACCACGGTTCCGCGGCCACGATACCATCCCGAGGCCCTTCGCTCTCGTTATCGATCGCGAAATTACACTCGATCTTAACATGCGTTATCCCGAGCGAGAGCGTACGCCGGAGGGCGGTGTCGTGGCTTTACATATCGCGATTTACGGGCAACCTCACCGGTGATATGCCTCCTTTGGGGCTCCTCGCCGTCACCTTCCTCCAACGATCCTCGATCCGCCAGACAATTATCGAAATACCCGACTCGGGGTGGCTATCGCTTATCTTAGAAAACTTAGTATCTCGCCGACGGACGACCAGAGAGTGAAAATGCTAGACCCGCTCGATTGCGGAATCGATACGGTACCCCTTCCTGAGGAGCGCGCGAGCCAATCGGGCGCGAGCTTGCAAGCCCGCGGTGTCCCGGCGCAGTGCTGTCGATACGAGATCCTTCGGGGGCGGGCAACGGTCCCTCGGCGGCGTGCGACTCCTCAAATTTTGGTCCTTAGCGGCGGACGGAACTCGGTTCTCGCCGGTGTGCCTCCGGTTTGACCCTGGGGCGGTGATCAGTCACCCCGTAGGTCGATGTTTTGTGGAGATCATTTGCTGAAGCCGGGTGTTTACCCAAGCGCTTGGGGCCCCGCTATCGGCGGCCTCGTCCGTCGCTGCCGCCCGTGCCGCCCGCCTGCCGCGTTGCTCTCGCCAGCCCGCGATCTCTGCTGCTTCCGCGTTTGCCACCCCTCCTGGGTTATCGATCGTCCTTGATTTCCTTCGCCAAATACTCCCTCGAAGGTTTGCCGTGGTGTGGGTGAGGTGCCGCGCGTATTACATTGCATAAAAAAAACAAAAGAAAATAATCAAAATGCGGAAACGCGATTAAGGGGATGCTGGAGCCGTCTGTTTTACCGGCATTTTTTGTCGGCACGTAGCGTCGTATTAATTTGACAGAATTAATAATCCTTTTCCAGAATTGCAGTACATACATTAATGATTCGGGGGAACTCCGATTTTATATAGAAAACGAGAAAAAATTACGGAAGTACAGATTTCCTTATCCTATTCTTATCCCAATATGGCGTCTCGAGTTGCGGCGAGCTGTCAGCTCGTCACAAGATGTATTTCATATAAGAGATATACCATTGGTACGAACGCAAAAACAAGTTTCCCCGAATTGCACAACAAGAAAAACATCGATAAACCCCCCAAATGAAGATTTGGAAGCGTAATATAAAAGTATAATGTCGGTGTGCATCGTGCGTATGTGTGCGTGCAATGTAGCGTGCTATCCTTGTCTATATCTTTGTCTATACAAGGACAGATATAGTTCGCCGGTCTTCTTTACCGACGCCGATCGAGTTCGGCTACGGCTCCAGCATCCCCTTAAATACGACCCCTGGAGATCTCGTCGTTGCCTCCCTGGTCCGTCCCTGGGCGCGAAATTCCGCGCCTTGTGGCGGCGGCGGGGCGCCGCGACGGTGCGGCGAACCGCAACGTCACAGTATTAAAAACACATGAAGAATATAAAACGGTGCGAAACTGGAAACTACTGGAACAGATTCGGGTCTGGACTATAGTTATTTATTGTTTCGGATTCCTTGACTGCTTGAACAGATCGACTAAGAAAAAGTTTATTATAATGGACCATTTTCCCGAAAATATTACATACATGGGTTAGAACACGATAACCGGGGCCCCTTGATTTGACTGTGGTTTCTGGTAGTATTTTTTACGCTGAACAAAAAATTATATAGGTCTTATAGGGCTAACTGCTTTAGTTTTCGAGATATGCAGTATTAAAGCTCAAAATAAATATAACTTGGTAAATGTCTAGATTAAGGGCGACCTCACCGATTTCAATGACCTTGATATATGTTGTCAAAGTCACGACCCCGAGTGACCTTCAGAAGGTTTTAGCCGTCGCTCGTTATTCATTAAAAAGTTATTAACAAAAAAAAGTTTTGAAAATATAGCAGCTATTTTGAATATTGAAAAGCATAATAACTAATATATATGTAGAAATTGTTCACGCATACACTTTTCACGCAAACCGAGGTTCACGCACACCTGCCCGTGCTTTTGGGGGAGGTGCGGTAATCCCGAAATAGTTCACGCATACACTTTTTACGCGAACCGATATCCTGAATATCTCTGAGCCGTCTTTAGTGCGTCTTTAATGCGTCAAAATTGATACAATCTGACCTGAAAGTGATGAGCGGTGAACAAAATGAGATGTATATAGAGTCCGTGTACATGAGAGGCAATTATATTAATTGCCGTCTTCTTCGATAAATCGCCCGTGAGCCGGTGAGACACGTGGCGGTCGGCACTCGCGCACATGTGAACCTGAGTCGTCGTGTTGATGTACCCGAGTAGAGCTGGATGAGCGGTCGCTTTACATGTTAATGCAGTATCTCGGCAGCTGTTGTAATCATTGCAGTGGGCACTTCAATGTGTAGTCACAATCAAAAATGCACAGAGCACACGTCGTGCGTCTGATCACTGCGCGGCCATTTGTACAACTCTGAATATCGCGAGGAAGACGTTGGCGATGAGCGCGCCCGTGCGCGGCGCAAGCTGCCGCGGTGATCTAGCGTCGTTACCCGATCGATGCTGCCATCTGATCTGACGGCGCAGCGTTAACGGAATCTTGAACATTTCGCCCGCCATCAGCAACCTTGTTGATGATTCCTTACTCTTGATCCTTCATTCGGTTGGAATGGGTAATATGGCAAGCTTGGCCCTTGGCCGAGTGAGTGTCGTGGCCGTCTTGAGGGTAACCTCCCTGGTGAGTCCATCCTTGCCGGGGTGCAAGCTGTTACTCTGGCGAGTGGCCATTTGCACGGTGGAGAGCGTTCGTCGGTGAGCAGCACGATGGAACCCATCTTGATGTTGTTGTTAGGATGATGCCACTTGGATATCGCCTGCTGGCGTTGCAGATAATGAGCCGTCCATTGTGCCCAAACATGCTGAACATGCTGCTGGATGAGCTGCCACCGAGATAGTCGTGAGGTTGCTAGGTCAATCAGAGCTGGCTCGGGTATGGTAGTGATTGGACCTCCAATGAGGAATGACCTGGTGTGAGAGCTGTGACGTCTTCAGGGTCGTCACTCAGCGGTTCTAAGCCGCGAGTTGAGAATGTCCTTGATTTGCGTAAGCAACATTGTGAGTTCTTCCGTCGTGAGTAGAGTCTCCCCGATAGTCCATCTCAGATGAAACTTCAGACTTTACTACCGCCTCCCACTTGCCCCCCATGTGCAAAGCGCCTGGTGGGTTGAACTCCCATCCTGTGTCATTAAGTTGTAAAACTTTAGCAATCCGTGATGTTCTTGAGAGCCCTGGCTAAACATTTTCTTGAGCGCGGCGTCTGCTCCAATGAATGTTGTCCCGCAGTCCGAATACATGGTCTGAGCAATTCCCCTTCTAGCTGAGAATCTTCGGAAGGCTGCTATGAATCCTTCTGATGGGTAGTCACTGACTACTTCGAGGTGAATTGCGGAGGTGGAGAAGCAGACGAACACAGATCCCTTCCTTGTATATTTTCACACCTCGTCCCTTCCATGTTTTGATAGTGAGCGGTCCGACATAGTCAACTCCTGTATGAGTAAACGGACGTGACGGCGTAACCCGAGAGAGAGGTAGTTGGCCCATCAGTTGATGAGCACGGATCCCCCCCCTTGCCGAGCACACACGACACACCAAAAAATACAAGACTTCACCGGAGCCCGTCCGCCGATGATCCAGTAATTTTGCCTGACATGAGCCAATGTCAGCGGTGTTCCTCCAGTCAGGGTGCGCAAATGGGCGTGAGCGATGATTAAGGTTGAGAAGCGTGAGTGGCAAGGTAACATCGCCTTATGTTTGTTGTCTTGATCCAATGTTGGTTGATTGAGACGGCCGCCAACTCGGATGAGTCCTTGAGCGTCTGTGTACGCAGTCAATCGACTGAATGCGTGAGCAGTTGGTGATCTCGAGTTGGCCGTGAGTATCTTGATCTCGTACGTGAAGTATGCCGCTTGAGTAGCCTTAATCCAGAAGAATCTGGCTTCCTCCAAAGCTGAGTGTAAGTCCAGTGTTTTGCGTCGGCGCTTTCCCAGAAGCGATATGAACCTGAAACAAAGAGCTGTTATTTTCAATAACTTGTTGAGTGTTGAGTACCTATAATCAGGTCCCAGTGATAGTCCGGTTGAGATGCGGCCGCATGTAGCGCAATGCCAGGACGAGCCTTATGCTCGCTCAACTCGTCCGAAAGCGCGGGTTGAGATGGCCAAGCTTCAGGGGTGAGTATCCACGGTGGTTCCGTCCACCATAATGAGTGACTTTGGAGTTGAGCAGTATTTAATCCTCGTGAGGCGCAATCGGCTGGGTTGGACGTACCTGGTACGTATTTCCAATGTGCGTTCGCAGTGAGCTCTTGAATTTGAGAGACCCAATTTCTCACGAAATCCTTCCAGCGCGATGCATGAGATTTGATCCACGTGAGTGTCACAACAGAGTCCGTCCACAGGTGAGTTGCTGTGACGTTCAACTTCAAGGTGGCTTGAACGTATTGCATGAGTCTTGAGAGCAGCAATGCTGCGGTGAGTTCAAGTTTCGGGATGGTGAGTTGTTTGAGTGGTGCTACCTTCGTTTTGAAGCACACCAATAAAATCGTGGCGCCATTTGAGCCGTGGACGGTGATAAATACGACTGCAGCCATTGCCAGTTGAGAAGTATCAGAAAAGCCGTGAAATTCCACTGACGAGGTACTCCATGTGGTTTGAGAGGTGCTACCTTGGATGTACCACCGAGGTATTGAGAGCTTGCAAGCTTGTGAGTTTTTTCTGATAATGAGCCACCGTGATGAGCGCTGGGATGGCAGTGGTTCATCCCATTGGAGCTTCATGTAGCCAAAGCTCCTGCAAGAGCATCTTCGCCTTGATCACCACTGGTGATACAAAGCCCAGTGGATCGAGTATCTGAGCCACTTCAGACCAAGCGAGGTGTTTGGTGAGGTGATCGGTGTGCGACGAGATCCTTGTTGAGAATGTGAATGAATCTTCTTGAAGAAGCCATCGTAATCCGAGTCTTTTGGTTACGCAATCGTCAATGTAGTTTGTGAGCCCTGGTTCTTTTCTGCTTGAACCGCAGTGAGTACGTCTTGATGAGTCGCGTGCCACCTTGCTAATGGGAAGCCGCCCGCCGTGCACAAGTCCGGTGAGCAGTATTGAAGTTTCTATTACCTGCTGAACGGTGGCGGCGCCTCCAAAATGTCGTCAACATCTTGACCTTGAATGATTGGCGGTACTGCGAGGGGAAAATTGTGACCTTCATCCTCCTCCAGTTGCAACAGTGTTTTGTGCTGATAAGAACGGGGCAGCGTTGGTCCCATAGGTGACCGTTGTGAGATAATGTGGCACTTCATTGAGCTGTTTATCTATCCAGCGAGTCCGTTGTAAATTTCAGTCATCTTCATGCACGTTGATCTGCTTATACCCTTTGGTGATGTCAGTGGCAACTAAGTGTCGAAGTTGTCGAGTCCAGAGCAAAACATCTGATGTCTAGGTGCTGTGATGCAGATGCATTCGAGCCATCAAATACCACGCGTAATGTTGTGGTTGCACTGTCTGGTCTGAGTACTCCGTGATGTGGCAAATAATATTGTGTGTGCTGACTGGAAACGGGTGAAGCCTTCTTCATGTGATTGAGCTCTCGATATTCTGTCATAAACTGATGATACAGACGTCAATAGTTGTCATCTCGTGAGAGTCTTCTTTGTAACTTTTCAAATATCGATGCGTTGTGAGATACGAATCGCCAAGAGTATCAAGTGATGATTTTAGTGGAAGTCGAACTGTGTATCGACCTGTTGAATCCCGTGAAACAGTACTCTTGAAATGTTCTTCACATCTTTGCTCGTCAGGAGTAAGCTCAAGATTGTTGCTTGCAGGCACTTTTTCCTGTGTCCAAAATCTCGACAGTAACTCGTCGAGAGCATTTTCCCTCTCCTGAATCGATGCATGATGCACTGCAGCAAATGCCGATGACGATGTGTCGACAGGTCCGAGCACGAGCCATCCGAAGATTGAGAGCTGCGCAATTGGCATCAACGTATCTCGTTTGATGATGTTGGGCTTGATGATCTGCCCATATGAATCAGCTCCAATGATGATATCCACTGGCCGTGGTGTTAGGAAATATGGATCAGCCAAGGTCAACTTGGTGAGATGCGGCCATTCCTGTGGTGCAGCGTTGAATGATGGCAGGATGTTCGTTAACGTCTGCAAAATGTGAGCTTGAATAATGACGTCTGATCTTGAGTGAAGTGAGCGGCGCTTAAGCAATGCAACTCCTCGAATTTTGCGTCGCCTTTCCGCCACCAATTTTAGTGATGAGAATGACGGAATGATGACGAGTGATGTTGAGCTGGCGAACGAGAGATTCTGAAACAAAGGTAAGTTCTGAACCTGAATCAATGAGAGGCCACACGCATTGAGTATGAACAGATGAGCTGATCTGAGCCAGGGCCGTAGCGAGCAATGTTGAGTGTGGTGAGCGGGCCAAAGAGAAGTGAGCAACGATTGCACCATTTTCTTATTGAGCTGTCGCAGTTGAGCTGGTGATTGGTTTCGCTAATGAGCTCGACTGATGAGCCTCATGCAGCATCGTGTGGTGTCGGTTGGTGCACTTCCTGCACCCCCGTGAGCCTTTACATGAGCGGCCGTTGTGGCGGCCGAGGCATTTGAAGATCCTTAAATTATGTGCACATCACAATGAAGTGAGTGCCGTTGCAACAATCGCACGGGTAAGATGCTGCCGTGCGGACCGGTTGAGCTGCCACATGCTGAGCTGTCAACGTGCGCTTTGCTGTTGAATGAGCGCCGACGGCTGTGAAGCTTCAAGATATGCATGCTCCTTGAGAAACGCCTTGTTCGCCTCTTCGAGATGCATTAAGATTTGGATGACCTCCTCTAACAGCATGTCCTTTGCACAAGTTGGCAGCGTGTCGCCAATATTCCGCACCGTCGCCAGGCGGTTCATTTAGGATGAGCTCCGTGGACAAGCGCACGGGTGAGGCTTGGCGTTCCGATGTGCGAGCCGATGGTCGTACCTCGAGCAGCGGCGTCGTGGATTCCGTACCGCCCGTACCCGCCTTTGCGGGTTCCGTCATGTTGAGCCGCCCTGAGCTGCGCACGATGAAATACCTGAGAAATGTCAAGACACGTGTAAGAAATGCTGCACGAACCGAGAACGTTCGAGAGACGCGTGAGAAAAACACTATGCGAATCGAGAGTCTACAATGTCATGTATTGAGCATGTGAAAATGTCTATTTACACTCGCGGGAGCGCGTGAACATGTTTTCGTAACACTCGCGAGCGCGCGTGAGAATGTCTGTCCTTCACTCGCGGAAGCGCGCGATAATGTCCACGTGGCATGTCGTGAAAGGCATGCCTTGTTCACATGATCTGTGTCCAAGCTACACTTTAAGTTCCACGCATCCGGCTCGAAGGACCAAATGTTCGCGAAATCGCTGATTAATCCCGGCGATGGAAGCGGGATGAGAAAGACGCGCGTGGAAGGTGTTAACTAAATATTCACTTTATTTTTGTGTAACTCAGACCACAGTCTGAGCCGTCTTTAATGAAGATCCTATCGATCATCGACGAGCTTCGCGAGGCTGGGCTTATTATAAATTAAACCATGCGTTGGCGAACCATTCAATCACCATTGAAATGCCGATCAACAAGTTTGGTATATCGCTTGGACGAGGCGAGACGCAACCGAACTATCAATGCAATGGAGTAGTCAGAAATTACGTGCGGGATAACGCTCTTTGTATGGTTGCCGGCAACTTTGATGCAAAGTCGCGCAAGATTCGACGCGTGGCGCAACCGGAAGCTGATGATGATGTAGTTAACAAACTATACGTGGATCAGTGCTTTAAAATGTCGAGCAATCGACAGAAAGAGTCAGACGAGAAGCTGGCTGTGTTCGAGAAGGATCTGCAAGCGTTACGGATTGTGATACACGAGCTTCGACATTTGGCCACCGCTGAGTCAAAAACGAACAACAACAGCAACAATGGATAGCAACAAATGGAACGGCTATAAACGATTAACGGACGACGATGAACGGCAACGACAAACGGTTCAGGAACGGCTCAGGAATAGCTATCAAGCGGCTAACGAACGACTCAGAAACAGCTATGAACAGCTAGCGAATGGCTATAAACGGCTAGTGGACAAAGAACGACCGGCAGACAAAGAACGGCTATTGAAGGACAATGAATGGAAATAAATGGCTATTGAATTGTTAAAAAAAAAAAGTTTGAGATATAAATCATAATATAATTTTTTTGTGCATATTATTACGCACCGTTAAAAAAACATGACATCCGATGGACGTAAAAATATCGAGAAGCAACAACTCGTCGAAGAACTGCATGCTCCAGCGAGAAGAAATTTTCCACGAAGACACGTCATAGTTCGGGGATATGACGACCTGTGGCAGGCTGACATTGTCGAGATGCGCCCATACTCACATTTCAACAAAGGTTACCATTATATACTCACCGTCATCGATGTGCTGAGCAAGTTTGCGTGGGCTGTACCGCTCAAGAGTAAAGGTGGAAGCGAGACGGCTGAAGTTATCGCCAAGATAATTCGAGAGAGC